ATTTTCCCATTATCATCCTCGTTATGCTATTCTTTTCATTATAATAAATCTCAATTTTTTAAAATTATTTTATCATCATTTTCACCTTATTCATATATTGCCAGCTTACGTTTACTTTCCTTTTCTCCTCATTTTTTTATTCACTTACTTTTATCATCAATTTATCATTAATTTATTCCCATCACTAGGTTTCTTTTCTTCACCAATAAGGAATTGATCGTAAAAGGATTAAATAATACAAGGAAAAATCACTTCTTTACAAAATATATTCGAGGGAAACAAACAAACAACATGACTGAATAATATCTACAATATGTGGTTTTGATTCACTACACATACATACATACACGCACACACGCACACGTTCACGCACACATGCAAGCACATATATCCATGGATCGTGGGCACAGTGCCTTCTCCATACCCCTGCTTGAGCAAGTTTTATGAATGAGGCAAGCGAGAGAGAGAAAGAGAGAAAGAGAGAAAGAGAGAAAGAGAGAAAGAGAGAGAAAGAGAGAAAGAGAGAAAGAGAGAAAGAGAGAGAGAGAGAGAGAGAGAGAGAGAGAGAGAGAGAGAGAGAGAGAGAGAGAGAGAGAGAGAGAGAGAGAGAGAGAGAAAGAGAAAGGGAGAGGAGAGAAATGGAAAGAGAGAAAGAGAAAAAGAGAGAGCGAATCAGGAAGAGGAAGAAGAGGGAGAGAAGCAAAGTCCAAGAATGGCGTTGTGTTCACATGGGTATATACAAGTGGAATCACACGTTTGATATGATTTTTGCGTGTGTGAAAAAATGTATTCTTTATCATTTCGACATGAACATGGAATGAAGTTGATACACGAGAAATAATCTTACAAAAGGGAATCAATGTACATAGGTATGACCGTGGGATTATTATGTACGTGTGTGTCTAGGAAGGCGATCATGAGAAGAGGTAGGAATGTGAAAGAGGGAGGAGAGGAGGACGAGGAGGAGGGAGACGACAAGGAGGAGTAGAAAGGAATACGAAAGAGGGGGGAGAGGTGAAAGATGAGGACAGAGGAGAGGAAGAGGAGAGGGAGGGGAGAGGAAGAGGAGAGGGAGGGGAGAGGAAGGGGAGAAGGGAAGAGAGGAAGAGGAGAGGGGAGGAGAGGGGAAGAGAGGAAGAGGAGAGGGAGGGGAGAGGGGAGAAGAAGAAGAGAGGAAGAGGAGAGGGGAGGAGAGGGAGAGGAGAGGGGAGGAGAGGAAGAGGAGAGGAGAGAAGAAGAGCAAGGAAGAGAGAAGAGACGAGGAAAGGAAGAGGAGGGACATGTGCTCGCCGCGGAATGTGTTGGGGTGGTCACTGTGCCCGAAACTTACTTTACCAAACTTAAGATTCAAAAGATATCACAGAGCAATCTATATACATGCATAGACGTAGCAATCAATAGTGCTTGTTATTATTCTTTGAAGACCAATGCTAAAGCCTCTATGTCAATCACTGGTCATGGGTACAAAAACAAAGAAAGAAAAAAATTACAAAAAAATATACAACATAAAGATTGGATGGTAGCTCTTACAAAGCCTCACAAAATCTTCGTCTGCTTTCTCTTAACAAAACGTCTCCAAATGCGTATGTACAAGATGCCTTAACATGGAAAATTAACACCGAAATATTCTTTGTGGTAATGGTTGCAGATAAAAGAAATAAAAGACACTTGTGTACAAATGGCTGATCAACTTTGACAATGAAAATGTGCAAGTTACAATGCTGTACATGCAATGCTGCTGAGGGATAGGGAGACGGAGGGGGGAGGGGGTGGGGATGGGGGGTCCGCTACCACGTGGCCGAGATCCAATAGGAACTTATCTAACTGGCAATACTCGTCCTCGGGTTTACAGAATGGACCCCCTTCCTTCTATATATGCCCCCCTCGCCCCCCCCCCAAAAAAAAAATAATGATAACCATAATAACAATAATAATTATGATGATAATAATTTCAGTAATAACAACAACATATAAAATAAATACATTTTTTAGTAAAATGACAATTTCCTTCCCTATACGGCAATAAGTGTGTGCATCTCTGGTTGCATGATATTGCAGTGTGTTGCATTGGCTTGAGGTTGCAGTCAAGTTCCACGCGGTAAATATGAACTCTGGCATATGAGGAAAAGCTGTGCGTGTTGAAATGAGGGATAGACGGGCAGATAAATAGATGGGTGGATGGATGGATGGATGAACAGAAAGACAAAGGAAGATATGAAATAATATTCGTGGGAATGATGAAGACGCAAACAGTGAGTGACAGACAGACAGACAGACTTTTGTCTGAGAACTGCCACTCTACGCAAATCGAGATCGAGGCTTTCATTATCATTATCATTATCACACATATAAATTACGGTCCCGGGGTGCATGTTATAATATATATATATATATATATATATATATATATATATATATATATATATATATATATATATATATATATGTATATATATATGTATGTATATACATACACAGACAAGCATAAACATCAAACGGGAACCAAGTAAAAATGTATTTAAAAAATAGGCATAAAAATAACCCATCTTTTGCCTCTTCTCTTCAGGTACTCGCAGACAATGACGGTGGAATGAGAATAAGAGAGAAAGAGAGAAAGAGAGAGAGAGAGAGAGAGAGAGAGAGAGAGAGAGAGAGAGAGAGAGAGAGAGAGAGAGAGAGGAAGAGAGAGAAAGAGAATAAAATAATTCTCTCTTTCTAATTCTTTTCCTTCATTCTTCATTTCTTCCATTTTCTTTCCCATATAAAAGATCAGTTATTTAATTACTAAAAAAAAAGAAAAAAAAAGAAGAAATATATAAAACATCACTTGCAATATACGGAAAACGGAGGAATGAAAGAAAAGGAATAAATGAGGAGGAAAGGCGGAACGAGAATTGGAATGATACACGAAAAAAAGTCAAGAGTTTTAAGTATTTTTCTCAACTTCTCTTCTCCCGCCTGTTGGAGATGCAAGGACTTGGTTAGGGGGGGGGAGGGGGCAGGGAAGGGGAAATGAAGGTATGGGGGAGGGAGGGAGGGAGGTAAGGAGAGAAGGAGGGAGGGAGGGACGGGGGTGGGAGGCGTGGAGGGGAAGAGAGTAGGGAGGGGGGAGGGTCGCTCTTCCCCTTGGCTGGGTCCCCGCCCCTGGATTACGGTGAAGACAAGTGGAGTGATGTGGAAGATGCGGTGGAAGGGTCTAGTGCCGTCTCGAACCGTCTGCGTGTGGACTAAGAGACACTTGGTCAGCAGCCTCTCCGACAGCAAAGCCTTCTGAGCGGCGATTGCTGTCTTCAGCACTCGCAGCTCAGCCGTGTGATTGCTATTCGTTTTTTTAGAAATTAATCTTCGAGAGAAACAAAATAAATAAATAAAGAAAGAATAAAAGCTTCTGGAGAGGTTTGCTGTGAGATCTTTGTCTTTTATTGTGAGCAACCGAATGCAATATGTGACACGTCAGCTTCATGTGAGAATATTAATTCACCAAAAATATATTTTCGATTTTTTTTGGCTACTTTTTTTCACCTCTTTTCGGTCATGACTTTACTGCAACACCAAAAAGCTATCGAGATTTCGTTGCAACATTTACCTTCGGCGATGAATTATTTCTTTGTTTTAGGCGTCAACACACACTCATACACATATAGACTTCGTTGCGGTTTCGATATCTTTGTAGAAATAATGCACAGTCTATTGAAATGAAACGTAGAGCACACAGGAATTCGCCGTGCAGACAGCTACCACATTCAGTACAGAAATTAGCTGTGTGAATGTATAGATATGGACATTGCACACACATATATGTATATAGAGAATCCTACGGCATACATATATTACCTGCACTCACTGAGTTACAAGGAGGTGTGTTTCTACACGCAGAAAACTGCCATAGGTGTAAACGCATTTTAGTGTCTGTTTGGCTATAGCTAGCTCATCAAATACCTACTGTTTCAAGTGTGTTTCCCTTAAGTAATTTATTCTAACTGCAAAGGTAATTTCCGGGTAACGAGGTAACATCAAAAGCATTTCCAAAATAGTCCTGTTACCCCTATTCTCTGCCTCGTGTGTTGTGAATCAAATTATTGTTTTCTCCCTCTTTTTATCATTTATCCGTTGATTTACCTAATACTATGACCGTTAAATTACTAATGTAATTTACCCCTCTCCATGATATACATTTCCCAAGAATTTCCTCGAGAAAGTAGTTTTCTTCTTCACTTGCAATTAGTCCATTGCATTATTCCAAGTCAATTTCATATTTGAAAATTTCCAAAATTTCAATTTGACTTTTTAGGTTTTTTTTCTTCAGCGGTAAAATATAAATATCACATTTCCTATGTCTCGGTTCTATTACCTAAGTCTTTTTCCTTAAATATATATATTTTTTTCTTTTCTTTTACCTGGCCACTGACGGAATAGCATATACACTTTCTTAAGAAAAAATACAAGACTAGAAAAAAATAATATACATTACCCTACATCCGTTTTCTATACAGTTAATCCATTACCACTCAAATAAATATATCTTTTTATATATTTGTAAATACAGGTCTCACCTTACAACCTAAACACGGTCACATCTGATGTATATATATATATATATATATATATATATATATATATATATATATATATATATATATATATATATATATATATATATATATATATATACATATATATATATACACATCACTGTGTCGCCAACGTCCCGAAAGAATATATAATATACTTCCTCCTGACGTACCGTGAAAATATATAAAAATAATGACAATACTTATTATAGCAACCACAAAACGCACTCTCTCTCTCTCCTTCTCCTCCCTTCCTTCTCTTCCCTTTCCGTACCTTTGGGACGACATTCTTCTGCCTCTCCTCTTGAGAGCCAAACATCACAGTTGCCGTCTCCCGCGGGGCGACTTGCTCCTCTTCCTTTCTGGTCTCCCAACGCCGTCTCTTCTCTTCTCTCCTCCTCCGAGTCCTTTGACTCGGAGGAGGACGCCTTCTCTCTCTTCTTCCCTTCCCTTCTCTTCTCACCTCCTCCTCCTCCTTCTCCTCCTCCTCCAAGTCGCTTAGAAGTTGACAGACACGGTTCTCTTCCTCAGGGGTCCTGGCGAGCCGGCCGGACTGCTCTGCGTCGAGGAGGTGAGGGTAAGCCACAGCCCCACGCACCGACTCAGCGAACCCCATCTGTGGACACAACAGATCAACGCCCATGAGGAGGAGCCACAGGGGGAGGGGGGAGGGGGGAGGGGGGAAGGGGGGGGGGGAAGGGGGGGGGGCGGAGGAGCTGGAGGAGGTGGGGGCGGGGGATGAAAGGGGGGGGGGGGAGGGGAAGAAGAAGGAGGAGGAGAAGGGGAAGAAGAAAGGAAGAGGAGGAGGAGAAAGAAAAGAAGAAAGGAGGAGGAGGAAGAGGAAAAGAAAGGAGGAGGAGGAGAAGAAAGGAGTAGGAAGAGGAGGAGAAGAAGAAAGGAAGAGGAAGAGGAAGAGTAGGAAGAGAAGAAGAAATGAAGAGGAGGAGGAAGGAGGAGGAGAAAGGAGGAGGAACAAAGAGTGGAAGATGGGAACAGGGAGTGGGGGAGGAAGGGGAGGAGGAGGAGGAGAAAGAATTAGGAAGAAGTAGAAGAAGAACAAAGAGAGGAAAAGCAATAGGAAGAAGCAGGAGAAGGAGGAGGAGGAGGAGGAGGAGAGAGAATGAGAAGGAGAGTGAGAGAGAGAAGGAGAAAAAGGAGAAGGAGAGAGAGAGAGAGAGAGAGAGAGAGAGAGAGAGAGAGAGAGAGAGAGAGAGAGAGAGAGAGAGAGAGAGAGAGAGAGAGAGGAGAGAGAAAGAGAGAGAGGAGAGCGAAAGAGAGAGAGGAGAGAGAAAGAGAGAGAGGAGAGAGAAAGAGAGAGAGGAGAGAGGAGAGAGAAAGAGAGAAAGAGAGAGAGGAGAGAGAGGAGAGAGAAAGAGAGAGAGGAGAGAGAAAGAGAGAGAGCGAGAGAAAAAGAGAGAGAGAGAAAGAGAGAGAGAGAGAGAAAGAGAGAACGAGAGAGAAAGAGAGAGCGAGAGAGAGAAAGAGAGAGAGAAAGATAGAGCGAGAGAGAGAAAGGAAGAGAAAGGGCGTGGTGGAGGAGAGAATAAAAAGGTAGCAAAGGGCAAGTCGCGAAGAGCAGACGCAAAGAGGGGAAGGAGAGAGCTCTTGGAGTGGCTCGGGGGATGAAGGCAAAAGGGGCAAGAGGGAAAGGGAAAGAAAGTCGAGTGAAAGGACACACAAGAAGAGGCACAAAAAGATCAGAGCACAGATGATAATGCAATGGCCACACACTCGGCAAGACAGCTGGATATCGCGCCAAAGTTGCAAAAAAGTAAAAAAAATATGGAATATAATTTCATTCCTTTTACGAAACAAAACAATCTGGATCTGCTTTTTCGAATTATAACTATGATAATGATTTTTTGAACGACAAATCAACAATTTAAAAATGTTGAAACTACTACTACTAGTAATGATAATAACAACAACAATAACGATTATAATAATAACAAAACAATAATGATAATTATCATTAATTTTCTGTACTTCATTACATAAACCTTCGTCCTTCACCCACCTGGCTGCGTCGCTGAGCTGCCTCGCTCGCTGGCCGTCGCCATAACGACACGAGACGACCATCTGTTCGGAGTTCTGCCACACTCGGTATGGTTGCACTATCAACTGCAAAGCAACAGGGAAGACCGAGTTAATTAATGCGTATTGTGGGTCAATTCAGTTATTTTTATTTTTATTTTTTTTATTATTATTATTTTTTTTTTTGGGGGGGAGAGGGAGTTGGGGTGACTAGAAAATTCCTTTTAAAATAATACATGGGCTTTTCATTATATTTTTGGTTGGAGAAGGTCCTGGGGGATTAACATTTGATCTTGTTATTTATTTTTTTTTTTTTGCTTGGGAATTTGGTGAGAACAGATTGGAAGAAAGGACATGAGTGGAATTTATTATTTCCTTTATAGTACGTACAAATCTTCTTTTTTTAAGATATGGTAAATAAAAGTCAGTCACACTCCCTTTCACAGGAACTACTAACATTTGGGTTTATAATTCAATACTAGTTGTATTATCACTGGTTATCAGTCGTATGAAAAATTCTTATCAGTTAATCATTCCAGATTCATCACTACTCCAGCGACCCATGGACCTGTTCTCCCTTCTATCTTAATCCATCTTCCCTTCGTCCAAAGCAAAGCGCTGTCCTTACCTTGAGTGCCGCTGACGTTACTTCCCCGGAGGGCAGGGGAGGCTTGTGGACGTCCCTGGAGTTGTTGATCCTGGCGGTGACGCCCTCGTGCCAGTAGTCCTTCAAGGCCTGGCGGACGACCCTCTGGCGCCCGTCCTTATCCCGAAGGAGGTGCGCCATCTCCAAGGTGGTCAGGCTCGGTTCTGGTGGTGGAGAGAACACGGCCTCCGTCAGAAGCTGGCTTGCTTGGGGTTTGGCGGTGCGACCATCGGTCTTCCCTGGTCTTCTAGTGATGGTGAGGATGGTGATGGTGGAGGTGATGGTGAGGATGATGATGGTGATGAAGACACGGCTTCGAGAAAGCTTCGAGTCGCGATTTCTACTTTGGGTTTTGGTTTCGCCTTTACAACTTTGGTCACGTTATCGCCTACGAAAGAGGACTTCTCAGAGGTCGGTGCTCTTGGAGAAGCTTCCCGGCGTCGAGCAAGAGGAAGGGAAGAGTTCGCGCGAAGCCTCTTGGTTCAGGAGCAGATAAGCTTCAAGGGGGAGGCTTCGGAGGGCCTGAGGGACTTGCAAGATTGAAGTCCCGCCCTTGCGAGTTACAGAGAGTTCTCAACGACTCCTCTGAAAGTGGGTTTAAGGTCCGAGAATCTATGGCATACATGCGCATATGTTGTTAGGTGAAATTTATTTGTCCTTTACTTTAGGATTTTTGTCTTATAGGGAAAAAAATGATCTGGCAATTTGATTTTCCTTGATATCGAATGTGTTCGCGTGTGTTTGCGTGCGTGTTTCTGTGTGTGTGCGTGCGTGTGGGTGTTTGTGGTTGTACATGCCGTCGAGAGTTCCATGTGTGTACGTACGTCTGTCCGGCTTACACATGTACTGGGTGTGGCTGAAGGCGTGCACTGGCTACCACCCCTTTCCCATTTCTGTGTAATCAATGTGCAGTTGTTGTTCATTTCCCTTCAACGTGTCACTTAGGCAACATCACATTACCAGCCCTTAACAATGTTTATATGAAATTGAAAGTGTTCCTACCAACATACATTGGTGAACCTGATTCACAATGTTTCATGGCAATGTAACTCTGTTCATTACTGTTCGTGATTTACGGGTTAGTTACATATATACACAAAACATAATGCAACTTTGAAAATGTACCACTTTATCAAAATCTATAAATGTTAGCCTCTGTAGTTACGTAAAAGGCAAAAAGAAAAAAGTCTTCACAAAAAAACTGGACTGAATGAAACATGACGTTTTACAACTGATCGAAATCTTACGAGACTGACCGCTGAGCTGAACCAAAACAAAGTGACTCGCTACTTTTCTCGGGACACGCTACACGCTGTCAATATGGCACAAGGGAAGACCTCAATATTCATGAAATATAATTCATCTACAAAATAACAAGATTGAAAGACGACAGATAGAGAAGGAGCAAGAAAGCATGGGAGTAGAGAAAGAGTAAGAGGAAAAGAAAAAGGAATATGGAAATAGATATAGCGAAACAGAAATGAAGGTAGGAATGTAGGAAGGTAGATAAATAGAGAGAGAGAAAGAGAGAGAGAAGAGAGAGAGCCTTACTTTTGTTCTTGGGCAGCACGGCGATGCCCCAGTGGTGGTGCAACTTGATGTTGAACTCGAGGATGTCCCCGGAGCGCACCTGCGTCAGGAGCTTCTCGCAGTTCTGCCTGGTGAACCACGGCGTGAGGAGCATGAAGTTGGAGGGCGACTTCTTGGCCTCCTTCTCCTGCTTCTCCTTGGCCTTCTTGGCGGCCTTCTTGTCGAGCACGGGCGAGTGGTGCGGCGACCCGGCGGCCACCAGGTCGGCGTCCTTCTTCTTCATGAGGCTCAGGTCGGAGTGCACGGTCAGGTTACCCGTGGACTGCGTGAGGCGCGAGGCGGCGGCGGCGGCGGAGGTCTGCCTTCGCGGCGACCCCAGGATGTGCCCCCCGCGGCACTGCGACGGCAGGCGGCACAGGCGGTCCGTGCACTCCTTGGGGTCCACTTCGGTCTCGCCCTTGGCCGCGGGAGGCGGCAGGGGCGGCAGCGGGTCCAGCGTCGGGGCGTCGGCTGCCTGTCGCATCGGGTCCGACTGACCGCAGCTGGAGCGGGAGAGGTTGTGGATGAGCTGCGAGCGCCGCGACACCAGCTGCCGTTCGAGAGATTGCGCGTACATTGTGCTCACTTGCATCATGGCGCCGGCTTTATCTCGTGCCTGCTCGCCGACACACTCGCTCGCGCGGAGACCTAATCGAGCGTTTTATCTGGTTCGGCCAGCGGCTGTGCCTCGCCTCACCTGACTCTCAGACGGCTGAAGGGGGGGGGGGGCGATGGGGAGGGGAGGAGGTCAAGCCACAGATGAGGGACCGCCCTCTGACGTCACCGCTAGACTCCCAAATCAGGGTGTTCGCGCCCGTAGAGTTTTGCGCGCGTTTGATTGGCTCTGCTTTCCCGCCTTCTCCGTGAGAAGCTGTCCTGGCGAACGGAGAACTACACGTCCTCAGGCCTTTGAGGTTCAGCTACTCCGACGCTCAGCGCGAGGACGAAAGGCGATGAAATGTTTATTCTCTCTCCTCCGTCAGGCAAAGCAACAAGCACCTTTAAAAGAGCTGACGCTTCGGTCTTCCGACAAACGTGCACAAACCGGAACGAAATTCTCAGGGAACGAACGGTTTCTTCTCTTCGACGCGACTGAGCCACGAAGGCTGTGTAGAAATAAATATACGTCTTTAGACAAAAAGAGCAAAATTATCTTTTATTTCGAGAGCACTCGAAAGGGGTTTGTGATTGAGGAATATCTTGTAATCGACTAAGAAGAGAGAGCTAGTGCCTGCGTCTATATATGCTGGCCTGGCATGTGACTCGCGCCGCGCTGCCAGGCATAAGACGTGTCAATGAACATTACTGTAGTTGGCTGGCTGCCTCTCTCCCTCTCTTTCTCTCTCTATCTCTGTCCTCTCTCTCTCTCTCTGTCTGTCTGTCTGTCTCTCTCTCTCTCTCTCTCTGTCCTTCCTCCCTCTCTCTCTCTTTCTCTCTCTGTCCTCCCCTCCTTCCTCTCTCTCTCTCTCTCTCTGTCCTCCCCTCCTCTCTCTCTCTCTCTGTCCTCCCCTCCTCTCTCTCTCCCTCTGTCCTACCCTCCTCTCTCTCTCTCTCTGTCCTCCCCTCCTCTCTCTCTCTACCATGCCCCCCTCTCTCTCTGTTCTCTCTCTCTCTGTCATCCCCTCTCTCTCTCTCTATGTCCTCCCCCCCTCTCTCTCTGTCTCTCTCTTTCTCTCACTCTGTCCTACCTCCCTCTCTCTCTCTCTCTCTCTGCCCCCCCCTCTCTCTCTGTCCTACCTCCCTCTCTTCTCTCTCTACGTCATGTCTGCCTCGTTGTCCTCTCTGTCTACTGTCACTACGTGTGTATTCTCGTTTGTCTCTCTCTCTCTACCGTCTCTCTTCTCTCTCTCTCTCTCTCTCTCTCTCTCTCTCTCTCTCTCTCTCTGCCTGTGTGCATCACTGTTCTTAATAGAGTTAAAGGGGAAGACAGAAAGGGAATGGCACGTTCTATATAGAGTTCTGTCCTGTCACTCTTTTCCCGGTACTGCAGCTCAACCGGCAACCTATACTACTTGCATAGAAACCCGGTATTCAAGTGTCCAGTGCGCCTATCAGTCGATCAATGGCGCGTCGGCTTGTCATACATTTAAAATTCGTATTTCCACATTTCCCGTTTTTCGCTTGCCTAATTAATCTTACAATCCGGCGTATTATCGATGGTCGCATTTGAGCCAGTGACAAAAAAATCGGTCGGCATAACGGACAATTAGCCTGATCTGTGTGTACAGTGCCGGGTTGTTAAGGTGTGAATATTTGATGATGTTTTTTAATTCCTAGCCTGCACTGCTTGCGTTCTCTCTCCTGTTTCGTTGTCTCTCTATCTGCTTCGCTGTTTTTTTCTTTCTGCGTCGATTTCTTTCTCTATGTGAATTTTTTTTTCTCTTTCTTTTTCTCAATTTCTCTCTCTCTCTCTCTTTCTTCTTCTCTCTCTCTCCTCTCTCTCTCTCTCTCTCTCTCTTTCTCTCTTTCTTCTCTCTCTCTCTCTCTCTCTCTCTCGTTCCTACCGTTCTGTTTATCAGCCAAACGCGGTTTTCCTTGGAGTGTCTGTATCTCACCTTTACTGATCCGCGCTCTGTTGTTTTTACCTTATTATTTATTCTGTATATCTATTTACCTGTATGCCTCTGCCGCTCTTCACATGTGTGTAAATTGATATGCTTGCGTTCATGCAGCTATGGTGGCTGTATGTTTATATTCGTGTGTGTGTGTGTGTGTACAACATGCGTGTTTATATGTGCGTATGCGTACGTGAGCGTTTGTACGTCCGTGCACGAACATCTGTGCGCGTGTGTACACATACCCCACATCCCGTCACCAGGCACTCGAGGCCTTCAACCCTTCACTCCCCCCCCCCTTTCTCCCCACTCTGTCTCCTCCTTCCTCCCTCCCTCCCTCCCTCACCGTCCACTCCCTATACATATTCCCGCTCTCTCTCTCTCTCTCTCTTTCTCTCTCTTTCTCTCTCTCTCTCTCTCCCCCTCTTTCTGTGTACACCCCCTCCCTCCCTCCCTCATCCTTGGTAACGCCCATGAGTCACATCCTGCGAGCAACTGAGGGACGAGGGGGAGGGGGAGGGGGGGGGGTCGCTCTCTGCTTGCGCGTCCATTATTGCAAAGGGAGGAACTGGCCGGCAGGAACTCGCGCCGTTCGCGGAAAAGGTGTTGGGACGAGAGAGGGATGAGGAGGAAAAGGAGGAAGAGGCGACGAGAGATGAAGAAGACGTTGAAGAAGGAGAAGAAGAAGAAGAGGGAGGAGGAGGAGGAAGGGGGAGAGGAGGAGGAGGAGGAAAGGGAAGAAGAGGAGGAGGAGGAGGAAGGGGAAGAGGAGGAGGAGGAAGGGGAAGAGGAGGAGGAGGAAGGGGAAGAGGAGGAGGAGTAGGAGGAGGAAGGGGAAGAGGAGTAGGAAGGGGAAGAGGAGGAGGAGGAAGAGGAGGAGGAGGAGGAGAAGGAGATAGCAGAGACGAAGAATAAATGAAATCTAAGAAAAGGAAAAAAAAAAATGAGGGAAAGAAGCTGGAGTAATAGACGGGATGCAAGAAGAAAATGGAGAGAGAGATAAAATAGGAATGGAAAAGGACAAGAAACCGCGGACAACCTCAGAAACCGGCTCTCCGTCGTTCGTTTTCTTTCGCTCTCTTGCACTACCGAAAAGTTTAGTTGGAAAAACGCTTATGACGAAACACACTCCTTTATTTTACATCAACCTCATCTCAATGGCGCATTTTTATTCGTTTAAATCTGCAGTCGCTTTTTACTTTTCGTTATCATTATTACCATTTTATAGATTCTGGATGCACCGTTCGATATCAGAGAACGGTGGATATAAAATAAAATTTCCAGGAAATAAACTAGATGACGTGTAAACGATGATAATATTGAATAAAAAAAATGAATAAAACAATCAATTAATAAAATGAATGAATAGATTAGTAAATACAATAATACAATAAATACAATAAATCAATAAATATAATAAATTCTCTCCACCCTCAAATCCACGACGAAAAGGAACAAAAATAACGATCATTATGACAAAGAAAGATGTCTCCATACAACAAACAAACCATCATAAATAAAACAGAGACTCTCAATGAAACAAACAAACAAACAAAAAAAAACAAACCAGACGGACGGACAGACATTTTATCTCGGCTTGAGGCTTCGATATCAAAAACCGTTCGCCGGCCGCAGCTCTCGAGATTGGTTCTGTTCTGTTAAACTTGTGGGTTAGTTCCTCGAACGGTGGTGGGGGTGGGGGGTGGGGTGTTAGGGGGGTATGAGGTGTTATGTAGGTTGATCGAGAAAGACATAGGATGGGTGAGAAGAAAGGAGGGAGGGAGGGAGGGAGGGAGGAGCGTAATAAGGGGGGGGGGGGCAGGGAAGTAAAAGGAGGGAGAAATGGAAGGAAGAAGGGAAGAAGAGAGGAAGGGGAAGGGAAATAGAGGGGGGAGGGAGGGAGGAAGCGGGAAGAGGGAGGAATGGAGGGAGGAAGGGTGAGAGGGAAGGGAGGAGAGAGAGAGAGAGAGAGAGAGAGACAGAGAGAGAGAGAGAGAGAGAGAGAGAGAGAGAGAGAGAGAGAGAGAGATAAGGAAGGAAGGAGAGGGAGAGAGGAGACAAGAAGAACGAGGACAAAGTAGACTGCAATAACAAGGATAAATCATAGAAACAAGCATAAAAAAAAGAAAGAGAAAAAAAGATAAAGAGAGACAAAGCAAGATCATTACCCCCTCCCTCTTTTCCCCTCCCCTCCCCCCCCCCCTCTACCCCAGAACACGAGAACTCATTCCTAACATGTCCAGGGCCCCGCTCCCCACTAAATATAAACCCCCCTCTCGTCTCAGCCGCACACGCGCTCCTCCCCCTCCCCTTCCCCCTAACACCATCCCCCTCTTCCCTCCTCCTCTTCCCCCCCTCCTCCTCTTCCCCCCCCCCTCTCTCTCTCTCTCTCTCGGCTCCCTGCCCTCTCGAGCGAAGCCAAAAGCGCTTTAGAAATGACAAAAATCAAAATAATAATAGTTGTTCAGCTCTGATAGAGAAAGGAGAAAAGAGGGGGGAGGGGGGGTTGGGAGGAGGAGAGAGGAGGGATAGGGGGAGGGGAAGAAAGAAGATTATGAAGGAGGACGGTGAAGAGGAGGAGGAGGAGGGTATGAGGGGGAGGAGGAAGAGGGTATGAGAAGGAGGAGGAGGATGAGAAGGAAGAGGAGGAGGAGGAGGAGAAGGAGGAGGAGGAGAAGGAGGAGAGGAGGAGAAGGAGGAGGAGGAGAAGGAGGAGGAGGAGAAGGAAGAGGAGGAGGAGGAGGAGGAGAAGGAGGAGGAGGAGAAGGAGGAGGAGGAGGAGGAGGAGGAGAAGGAGGAGGAGGAGAAGGAAGAGGAGGAGGAGGAGGAGGAGAAGAAGGAGGAGAAGGAGGAGGAGGAGAAGGAAGAGGAGGAGGAGGAGGAGAAGGAGGAGGAGGAGGAGGAGAAGGAGGAGGAGAAGGAGGAAGGAGAAGGAGGAGGAGGACGGGAAGGAAGAGGAGGAGGAGGAGGATACGGTACTAGAAGGGAAGAAAAGAGAAGTGAAGAGAAAAAACAAAAACAAAGAGACGGAGATCGAAAACCCCGAGAAAAAAGTGAATAAACAGGCGACAAGGCGAGAGAAGACTGCACGAAACAGAGAAGGCAAAAAGAGAGCGAAAAGCCATGAGAAAAAAGAAAGAAAGAAAACGAGGAAAAAAAAAATCACGACACAGAAAAGGCAAGGGAAGTGCAAAAAAGCCAGGAGAAAGAAAAAAAGAAAGAAAAAATGAGAGATAGATAGATAGAGAGAGAGAGAAAGAGAGAAAGAGAGAAAGAGAGAGAGAGAGAGAAAGAGAGAGAGACAGAGAAACAGGACACAGAGAAGGCAAAAAAGGCAAGCACGAAAGACGGATTACATAAACATAGGGCTAAAAACAGAAGCGAAGAGGCGGGACAGAAATAAGCTCTTTCTCAAGGTTCGATCAGTCCTGTTCGCTGCTCTTTGCTGGCAGGATATTTTTCTTTTTCTTTTTTTTTAGTATTTGCTTTATCTTATATTTCTATTATCTTGTTCTTTGCAATGGCGCTATCCATTTTTTTTTTAAATACATATTTTATCAGTACTAGTATTTTTATCAATATAAATCACAACTATAATCCTTCTTAACTAATCTTATTATTACAGCTGCATTAAATTATTACCACAATTAATCTTTCACTTATTTATTATTTTT